ACAGAGGTGGCGGCACGCACACGGGGGTTGCGCGAGGGGGCTGGCCGTGCGATAAGGCGGGGTGGCTTCTCAGAGAAATCGGGAGGGCTTCTAAGATAGGTCGGCCATGTCCTCCTACAGGCGAATTCTTGAGAGAAACATGAGAAATAGTCAACTAGTACGCGAACATTGTCAAAAATAGCAAGCAAAATCGTCCCCAGGCTAGTTGTGGACTACTTTTGAAGATTCTTCCTGTAGAGGGACCTGCTCGACTTAATTCTAAGAACCCACCTGCCTCCTCAGACGCCCCCCTCGCGACGCCCTCCCGTGCTCGCCGCCAACAAACGCCAGCGAGCTTCCCCTCGGGCCAGCCGTCCTGGCCCACGGAGCGCGTCAGCAGGTCGGTGGCGTCGCCGCCTCCGCTCAGCCGTCGCCTGCTTCCTCTGCGGCCCCCGCGGCTTTCTCGGCCGGCCTCGAGCCCGCCTTCAGCTCCTTGGCCTTCTGCCGCTTCCTCTTCTTCAGCTCGCCCTTCTCGCAGAAGTGGCAGAAGTCACACTCGAAGCCCTTGCGGCACTTGTCCTGCTTCTGGTGGAAGTAGGCGCAAGGCTGACACTCCCTTATGTCGTGGAGATGTCTTTTCTCCTTTTCAAGGTCCGACGGGAAGAGAGTAGACCGCTCAAGGTCTACTGGGAAAGACATCGTTGGTGGCCCTGGATGTAGTCCCGGAGGTGGTCCAGGCTCTTCAACGTGAATAGACAAGTTCTTCACTGTCACTTTCATGGGCTCGTCCAGCGCCTTTGCCGTGTCCTCAACACCAGCAGATACAATATGTATCTATTTCTCTATTTCTATGTCTCCCTATCTCTCTCTCTCTCTCTCTGACTCTCTCTCTATCCCTCTATGTACATATATATATATGTATAGATATGTATATATATATATATATATATGTATCCCTCTCTCTCGCTCGCTCTCCCTCATGTGTATATACATATTTGGACAGATATACGCGAGAATCCCCCGCGCCCGCTTCGCGCGCGCTCAGGTAGCCTTGGAGTTCTTATACACACCCTCACTTTCCAGAGTTCCTTCTGCTGTCTTCGCTTCTTACATAGTAGCCTTGTGCGACAACAGTGGGGAGGGTTCACTTGAAAAGTATGTTAGAGAATGCCTTAGAAGAGAGGAGGACGCTTATGCCCTATGCTCTTCCTTCCTCTTCCTCTTCCTGCTCTTTCCTTCTTCTCGTCCTTCCGAACGTTTTTTATATGATACCCCTGTCTTCTATGTTCTACCTGGAGACACGCGTGCGCTTCGCGCGCATTCAGGTTCTAGCGCGGGACATGGCAACATAAGAACATCACTGATGCACGTCGTGACCTCTTCTGGGGCGTAATAATATTTGGGGTATCCCACTCAGTCCTCCATTCCTCTTCCATCCTCCTTCCCTGCATCTACTCCTCCTCCTCCTCCTCCTCCTCCTCCTCCTCCTCCTCCTCCTCTCCTCCTCCTCCTCCTCCTCCTCCTCATCATCATCATCATCATCATCATCTTCCTCCTCCTCCTCCTCATCCTCCCTATCCCGCGTTCCCCTGCTCCCCATCCCTTCCCTCTTGTCATTGTTCCATTGGCCTCCATGCAAGATTGATCGGTGCAATGGGAAGGGCCCTGCTGATATTGAGCTGCCATGTGCAACACGGCGAATAAAAGTTGCCTCGTCAAGATCGGCAAGGCCTCGTGAGTAATTCCCCAATCAGTGCTTGCACCAACGGGGCCCTAGCGGAAGTTGGAAAATTTGGCGAAAATGTCCCGCCGATTTTGGTCGCACGCTGAGTTCCCAGGTTCCCGGTTCCGGGTTCCCGGGTTCCCAGGATTCGGGCCCGATTTCGGTGGGCGGCGGGGTTCCCAAGTTTCTGGGTTCCTGGTCGATCTTCTTATCGATCGGTCTCGCCATCGATCCCATTACCCTTTTCTCTATTGATCTCATTATCGTTCTCACTATCGATCTCACAATCGATCTCACTATCCAGTGCTTGCACTGAAGGGGTCCTAGCGGAAGTTGAAAAATTTGGCGAAAATTTCCCGCCGATTTTGGTCGCACGCTGAGTTCCTGGGTTGCTGGATCCGGGTTCCCGGGTTCCCGGTGATTGGTTCCCGGGTTCCCAGGTTCCTGGTTCCGGATTCCAGGCCGATTTCGGTGGGCGGCGGGGTTCCCAGGTTTCTGGGTTCCTGGTCGATCTTCTTATCGCTCGGTCTCGCCATGGGTCCCATTACTCATTTCTCCATCGATCTCATTGTCGATCTCAGTCGATCTCACAATCGATCTCACTATCGATCTCACAATCGATCTCACGATCGATCTCACGATCGATCTCTCTATCGGTCTCATTGAATCGACTTCACGATCGGTCTCACGATCGACCTTATAGTCGTCCTCTTTATCGATCCCACGAACGATCTCACAATCGCTCTCAATATCCATATCACTAATTTTCAAGCCATCAACTGATTGTTTTTTTCTCTGGTGTCATGTTTGAACACCCAGGCTGAAGTGTGCCGAGAATGGTCCAGCGGAGGGCTTCTGGAACGTTCTGGAGCATGTGGTGATGGGGCGCTCGCGCTTGTCACATCAGGGTGCCGTTTGCAGCCATCGTCGCGCATGGTGGGTATGCTCGCTGCACACTCGCACATGAAGGTCGTCTTGGGGGTCATCCTGGAGGTCAGGATTCCTGAGGGTGCTCTGGGGACGGGGGACGTGCGTGGAAGGAGGCTTGGGAGACACCTTGGAGGGAAACTGGTACAGCAGGAGGGAGACCCTTGGGCCTTGGGGCCTCAGATATGCCCGCGTGCGCGAGGAGCGCAAGATGAGATCCCACGGAGGGCCCTAGGGCCTAAGGGCCGACATAGTATGGAGACAATTTCCGGAAACTAAGAAGACCTTTCTTAAACCGAAGGGACAACACTACGACGTAACAACTCGTGGAGAGCTTTCGGAACCGACTGCAGCAGGTCCCGTCACAGGGAGCCCGTCAATGTCTCTGTGGGCAGTCCGGGGGCCCTCGCGATCTCTGCGGCGCCACGACGGAACCAGCGAGCCTCAGAATGCTCCAACGCAGGCGGTCGGGAACGTGATGTGGGATGTGATGGGGAGCCGTGCGGGACCCCCTGAGGGCCGTGTGCGAGAAAGGAGGAGGAGGAGGAGGCGGCGGCGGCGGCGGCGGCGGCGGCGGCGGAGGAGGAGGAGGAGGAAGAGGAGGGAGGAGGAGGAGGAGGAGGAGGAGGAGGAGGAGGAGGAAGGGAGGAGGAGGAGGAGGTAGGGGAGGAGGAGGAGGTAGGGGAGGAGGAGGAGGAGGAGGAGGAGGAGGAGGTAGGGGAGGAGGAGGAGGAGGAGGAGGAGGAGGAGGAGGAGGAGGAGCAGTGCAGGGTCGTCCGGCGAACGTCGCGGGCAGCCTCGGGGCCCCTCTGTGCGACCTCCGTGGAGCCCGCATGGGGATGGCTCCACGGTTCTCTCGGGAGCCTCCGTGAGACGTGGCGGCGCAGGACTGGGGCGGGCCTCTCGTTGGTGGACCCAAACACACCCGGTGGTGACGTGGTGGTGAGAACACCCGGTGGTGAGTTTTGGGCGATTTGGGTAATGGTTTTCGAACGCTGGCTGGCCCAGGAAACGCAAAACCTCGTGGCGACCGCGTGTCCCCAAACCCGGTGGTGACCCAGAATTATTTTTTGGGGGAATCGGGGTCACCACCGGGTGTCTCACCACCTGGTTTGGAGACCACCAATCTCGACGGGATGTTCGAAGCATCTCGGGCGCCCCTCGGGGTTTCAGAAGGGCCACTGGAGGGTTTCTGGAGGCAGGCAGGGGGCTTCGTGAGCGGTCTTGGCGCCATCATGGGCCGCCTCGGGGTCCTGCTGAGCCGCCGTGCATCCGGGGCGTTCCTGGGGCGCGCTTGGACGCCCTCTTTAGGGCCCTCTTGGAGCTCTCTTGTGACGTCTTGGGACGCTCTTAGGGGTATCGTGCCCCTTCACGGCGTGGTCTGGGAGGACCAGGGGGCCGTCTTGGGGCGTCGGAAACCTAAAAAGGCGGGAAGGCCACACACCTTCGAACATGTATAGGAAAGCCACTGAGTTGTGCCTATCGTTGCCCTCCTGGACGTCCTCTTGATGGCCTTGCAGGGCACCTTGAGGGGCCCTGGGGCCATCTTGAAAGGAGTTGGGAGTGTCTCAGAGCGCTCTTGGGCCGTCTGAAAATCCACTCGAGCTCTTTCGTGTGAGAATCCCACCAGCCCTTTAGGGCGTAGGTGGTTTAACGAGTTTTGTGTTCTCTCCCTCTGCTTCCCCTGCTCGGGGGGGGGGGGTCGATCGGGTCCGAGGCGACCCGCAGCCAACCTGGAACAATGAGGATCCCATGATCACACACACACACACACAACCGTCCTTGACGAAACACGCTCTGCCTCCAAATTCGGAGCATGCGCAACCAACCCGATGCGGGCCCGCCCACCATCCCTGTCAAAAACAATGCAAACTACACGCTGTGGCAAAATACGGAGTCATGCTCGTGAGGCCCGCGAGTACTTTGTATTGTTTGTTGACAGGGACCGCGGAAGTGTCAGCATATTGCCTGCTGCGCGCAATTCTACCATTCCTGGCAAAACATACAACATGTATATCACGGATAGATCTGGATCATGCGCGGCCACCCCGCGATCACTGTCAAGTTGTTTTTGACAGGGACGGCGGGGGTGGTGGCGTATGGCCTGCTGTGCGCAGGCCCACCAGACATAATGATGGGCATTGGTTTTCGACAAGGGACGGTGGGGGCCAGCATGTTTCCCAATGTGTGCTGTCACGTGCGCAGGCGCACCTGACACACTACGCACGTGCCCCGAACGTGGCGCACCTGGTGCGGCTGGCGTATGCGGCACACCTGGGGCACGCGGAGGCACGTGGCGCATCTGGCGCACCAGGCGTGCCTGGCACGCTCGGGCCCCAGGGTTGCCTGGCGCGCGTGGCGCGCCTGGCACGCGTGGCGCACCTTGCCCCAGCGTCGCGCACACGGGCTCGGTCTTGGCTCCCAGCAGCTTCCCATCCAAAGACGACCGCTGAACATGCCGAGGCTCGAGTGGGAGTGAGCTAGACGGCTTGCTGTGTAGAAGGGTGTCTTGACCCTTCCTGGACCTGGGAGGGGGGGACGGGCCCAAGATGGCTCCTAGAGGCCCCTCTGCAGCCCAAGACTGCCTTCAGGATGGCTCGAGATAGCCAAGAGGCCCCATGACAGCCCCCAAGACGGTTCCAAGTGACTTTGGAGATTTTCTACGCAGCCTCCGAGAGGCAAACATCCTGCAAAAACCCACAGGACATCACTGGTGGTTGCCTTCTCGCTGTTTCGCTTCCGATGAGCCCGGCGCAAGAGAGTCCCAAGAGGGGCCCAAGAGGGCCCCAAGAGCGCCCAAGAACGGCCCAAGAGGGCCCCAAGACGCCATTCTTGAGTCTCCGAGGGGGAGACATCAATTGGGCACCCTCCCCATGTTTGAGCCATGGGGCCCTAAAGGACTCCCAGACCCCCCCAGTGAGCCCCAAAAGAGCCTCAAGACCCCCAAACTGAGCCACAAGAGGGCCCCAAGAGTGCCCCAAGAGGCCTCACGGGGATCCCAAGAGAGCCCCTAAGATGGCCTCAGTGGGCAGTCAAGGACCTCTCACAACAACATACCTCCAAAGCCCGACTTCTCATCCTCGTTGTCATCGTCCGGTCCTTCCCTCCTCATGTCCTGCATCCTCCCTCCCTCATCCTCCTCCTGCCTCTCCTCCTTCTCCTCCTCCTCCTCCTCCTCCTCCTCCTCCTCCTCCTCCTCCTCCCCCTCCTCCTCCTCCCCCTCCTCTTCCTCCGCCTCCTCCTGGCCAAACCGGATTCGGCCCCCCGTCGGTTCCCTTTCTTAAAAATATGCGCGCACACTCGTTCATCAAAAATCACAAGTTTCAAGAACCCCTTGCAAAAAACGGAACGAAGTGCACACGCGCGCGCCGTCGCGCGCGCATGCCGAACTCCTTCAGAAAACTTCGGTTTCGGAAAGATTGTAAAGCCGAGTGTCTAAATAACTTCAAAACCCCGCCCCCCCCCCTCCCCACAAAAAAACATGGATTCGCAACACGGATGTTCAACAAAAGCGTGCGCGCGCGATTACGCATTGTGTAAAAAAAGCTTCGCCACAGTATCATACATGCTACCAAGCGGCCTTCGGGCGCGCGCATGTCGAAATCGTTCGAACGCCCTCGCGCGCGTGCTGGGGTGGCACGATCCGTGTCAAATAATACCATGCCTTCCAAAACCTGCACCGCCGACGCGAAGACGCCGTCGTCGTCGCCGGCGTGATCAGCATCGGCGCCGTCACTGGCTGCCCCGTCGCCGCTGCCAACATCGTCACCAACATCGCTACTATCATCATCGTGTCTACCATTGTCGACGTTGCCATGATACCGCGCCCGCCCAAGTCGCCGACTCGCACTGAAGTGCCTGCTGGGATGTGCCGAGCGGTCAACGCCACCGCGTTCGCGTCAAACGCGCCAAACTAGCTGCCCGCTGCTCGCGCGAGCATGCGCGGGCTAGCGCGGCCGCAGAGATGCACCAGCCAACACCCAGCACTCATCGCAATCGCCCCCGCATGGGTTTTACAAACCAAGTTGCGGGTGGGTGGGTGGGCTGATTGCGCGAGCAATAGAGTTGACAACTTCGGGTTCGGCAAGTGAGTTGCACCACATACATTGCACCGCATGGGTTGCACCACATATTTTGCACCACACATACTGCACAACATAGATTGCACAACATAGAGCGAACCACATTGACAGCTCAACATAGTACAACCTAAATCGCACCACATAGATTGCACCACATATATATATATATGTATATATATATATATATGTGTGTGTTGCACCGCATATATTGCCGCATGCAGAAAGCACCGCATATCTTGCTGCACAAAGGTTGCCCCCTCCAAAACAAAACATACTGTTTAGGGTCCACGCTGGTTGGCATTAGTTGGTAAATGTCGGGGGCGCGCGATGGTTGCTGAATGCGTTCGACATGCGCGCGCGTGCGGCACACATGCCTTCTTTTGACATAACGCTGCATACGAAAACGAACAAAAAAACATTGCCTGTCTGATCGTTTCGGCGAGTTGAAGCGCAAAGAAATATGTCAGTGATCTTCATGTTGAGAAACCAATTGGTTTCCACAACTGTTGAATAGCCACGTCTTGAAATTGTTCGGGGACCATTAGCTGTTGAATGCTTTAGATTGGAACGCGCGCGCATATAGGCAATGTCGGGCTTCCATTCCTCCTCGTCCTCCTCCTCCGCTAGATTCCCAGATATCCCAAGGCGCTCCCGAGGTCCAGAGAGAGCCCCTCGATCCTCCTGGAGCGGGGTCCTCCGGAATGGCGGTCGGACCAGCGCCGTCCTCGAACCCGAAGGAAGCAGGGGGGCTCTCCATGTCCACCTTCTGCGGACCGATGCCAGGGGTGCGCGCGGAGCAGTCGGCGGACCTGCCCGTCCCCGCGGAATGAAGAAGGGGAAAGGAGGAGGAGAAGAGAAGGAGGAGGAACAGGAGGAAGAGAAGCAACAGTAGCAGGGGCAGCAGTAGGAGGAAGGGGAAGGAGGAGGAAGAGGAGGAGGAGGAGGAGAGAGGAAGAGGAGGACAAACGAGAGGTAGGCAAAGTAAGGGGGGAGGAGTAAGGGGGGAGGAGCGAAGAAAGAAAGAGGAGGAACGGAAAGGATGGAAAGGGCACCTCCTCTCCAACCGCATCCCTCTCCTAAGTTCCAATTTCTCCTGCCTTTCCCCCCACATCCATCCCCTGTCCTCCGTCTCCTCCTGCTCCCTGTGCCACCCCACCTTTCCGAACCACATCGTTCTCCTCCCCGTCCTCCTCCTCCTCCTCCTCCTCCTCCTCCTCCTCCTCCTCCTGCTTCTACTCCGGCTCCTGCTAATCCATCTCCTCCTCCTCCTCCTTCTCCTCCTCCTCTTTCTCCTCCTCCTCCTCCTTCTCCTCTTCCTCATCATCATCATCATCATCATCATCATCATCATCATCATCATCATCATCATCATCATCATCATCATCATCATCAGCATCAGCATCAGCATCAGCATCATCATCATCACCTCAACAACATCATCATCATCATCATCATCATCATCATCATCATCATCACATCATCATCATCATCATCATCATCATCATCATCATCATCATCTTCATCTTCATCATCATCAGAAGCAGCATCAGCATCTGCATCTGCATCTGCATCAGCATCATCATCATCATCATCAGCAGCAGCATCACCAGCAGCAGCACCATCACATCACAATCACCACCACCACCACCACGATCATCATCATCATCATCATCATCATCATCATCATCATCATCATCAGCAGCATCAGCATCAGCTGAATCATCAGCATCATCATCATCAGAACCACCACCATCACGACCAGAATCAGCACCATCATCAGCATCAGCATCATCATCATCAGCATCACCATAATCATCATCATTATCATCACCATCGTCATCATAAAAAAAACATCATCATCATCATCATCATCCTCATCATCATCATCATCATCATCATCATCATCATCATCATCATCATCATCATCGACACCCTAATCGTCATCAGCATCATCATCATCATCAGCAGCATCATCATCCTCATCCTCATCCGCATCCTCATCTTCATCCTCATCATCATCAGCATCATCATCATCATTATCCTCATCATCGTCGTCATCGTCATCGTCATCGTCATCGGCATCATCATCATCATCATCATCATCATCATCATCATCATCAGCATCATCATCATCCTGCTCCTCCTCCTCCTCCGTCTCCACGTCCTCATCCTCCTCCTCGTCCTCATCCTTCTCGTCCTGCTCCTGCTCCTGCTCCTTTTCCTCCTCCTCCTCCTCCTCCTCCTCCTCCTCCTCCTCCTCCTCCTCCTCCTCCCCACCGCCTCCCGAACGTCCACGGAAACCCAAGAACCTTCTGGAGGCCTGAAAGCCCCCACCCCCTTCCTCCCCCCCCCCCCCCGGAAAAGATGCGCCAATACAAAACATAGTTCGACCCCCCCCCCACCCCCCTCCTCTTGCAAGGAGGGGTGGCGAAGGAGGCAGGAAGGAGGACGGAGGGGGACGGAGGCCGGGAGAAGGAAGGAGGCAGCAGTGCTCTACAACTATAAGAACACCACAAAGATCTGTTGTGGTGAAACAGGAATTGCCATTATTCCTCTTCGTCATCATCATCATCATCATCATCATCATCCTCATCATCATCATCATCATCATCATCATCATCAGCATCATCAGCAGCATCATCATCAGCATCATCATCACCATCATCATCATCACCACCACCTCCGCCACCAGCATTATCATTATCAACATCATCATCGTCGTCATCATCATCAGCATAATCAACAGCACCAGCAGCAGCGTCAGCAGCATCATCATAATCGTAATGCTGTTTAAAAGAATAATAAGAAGAAGACGAAGAAATACAACCAATGATTAGAATAAGCAGTAATGCTAATAATACTCATCATAATGAGAATGATAAGCATCACCAGCATCATCAGCATCATCAGAATCATCAGCATCATCCTCATCATCAGCATCATCAGCATCACCAGCATCAGCGGCATCAGCATCATCATCAGAATCCGCATCCGCATCAGCAGCAGCATCAGAAGCAGCAGCATCAACATCACCATCAGCAGCATCATCAGCATCAGCAGCAACATCATCATCAGCAGCATCGTCAGCAGCACATACATCAGGATCAGCAGCATCATCATACGTAAGTGGCATCGGCATCATCTCAACATCAGCACCATGATCTGGATCATCATCGCTATCAGTATCATCATCAGCAGCAGCATCATCATCAGCAGTCATCAGAATCATCAGCATCATCATCGGCATTAGCATCATCAGCACCGTCATCGGCATCATCTTCATACTCGGCATCACAATCATTATCAGAAGCATCATCATCAACATCAGTATCGTCACCACAGTCAACATCATCAGCATCGTCGAAATCGTCCTCGTCCTCGTCCTCATCCTCCTCCGATTATCCTCATCATCACGCTCCTCCCCTCGTCACCGTCAACCACAACATCGTTACCAACAAAACCACTACCATCATCATCCGCATCTTCCTCACCACAAGCAGACTCATCAACAGCTGCATGGCCATGAAAATTACAATCGCCGTCATCCTCATCAACATCATCACTATCATTGTCCTCCTCCTTTTCGTCGCCGGCATCAGAATCACTGTCACAATCGCAATCGCGCTCGTCATCGTCGTCAGCATCACCGACAGCATGACCAGCGATCACCACGGTGACCACCACCCTCATCCCCATCCTCATCCTCATCCTCCTCATCGCCACTTCCATCATCACCATCACCACCACCATCGTCGTCACTATCCTCCTCCCCCTTCTCCTCCTCCTCCTCCTCCTCCTCCTCCTCCTCCTCCTCCTGTTCCTCTTCTTCCTCCTCCTCCGCCTCCTCCTCCTCCTTCTCCCCCGCGGCCCTTGCACCCGCAGACCATTGCAGCGGATGTCCACCAGGACCAAGCGTGTGATGGAAAATCACGCCGGAAAATATGAAACCTCCACGAGGCTGCGGGCGACGCGACCCTGACCCAGACTTCGGGAGGGTCTCGCGCGAATAATGACAAACAGGTGATTGAAGAGGCGGCCTGCGAAGGCTGCAACACGCAACGAACATGTCACGAATTACGGACCGCAAAAGCGGAAGTATTTATATACGTCAGCAATGCGAACTGGGTTAGGAAAAAAATCTGGGTAACGCCAAAACAGGTCCCGCGGGCGACGGGCCTTTAGGTAACGCAAAAACCGGCCCCACGGGCGCTGGAGTGGATGCCACACGGCAGATGCGGAAGGAGGAAGAGGACGACGAAGAACGGGGGGATGGGGAGGAGGAGGAGGGGAACTAAACTAGCCCACCGCGGCCCGGGGCCAAGGGGTCTGCGCCACCACACCCCCACGTTAGGCGCCCCTGGGGCCGCGGGCCATGTCGGCGCCAGGAAGAGGGGAAGAGGAAGAGGAGGGACAGGGAAAAAAGTTAAGGTAACTAGAAAAAACCGAACCGGCCCTGAAAAGCGAGGCCAGCGAACTACGAAGGGATCAGGGGCCCAGCCAAAGCTAGGAGCCGGGCGTTCCAATGCTGCAGAGTGGTCGCCGAATCCTGCCAGACGAGGCTCACGTTCGCAGAGCGCTCTTCCTGGTCCTTGTTGTTTACACAGAGAGCGCACCAAGGTGATAATGCATTCCCCAGGGCGGCCGAGGCAGGACACCAGTGCAGGGGTGATCTCCAGCTGGGCATACTTCCGGCGCTTCGTGGCCTCCACGACCGCGATGGCGGCACCATGTCGCGTGGTGCGGGGGTTCTGGCCACCCAACCTTGCGATGGCACATCGATATGCTCTGTTTCGCCCCGGTGGCTCTGGAAATGCAGATCGGGCCGACGATCATCTGACAAGAAGGTGGTCGTGCTGCTCCGCGATGGCCGGACACTCTGTGATGTCCGTAATGGTTTTCCCGAGCGCGTCACGAAGAACATTGTGACGGCCGTTCACCATGCCGCCCACACCGCACATGATAGGGCGCCGACCATGCAGATCGCGCGCACCCACACAGTGCATTATTGGGGCGGTCCTGCCGGGGCTTCGAACGGTGGAGACACGGACCGACGGACTGGAACACAGAAAAATTCATCCGGAAGCGGACGCACGTCACGAACGTCTCGTCGGACATGGAGTGCTGAGGCCGCCGCGGTGGGAGAAGCCAAGCGCTCGCCCCAGGGCCACCGCTCTCCTTACAGGCAATGACAGACTCATCGCTCGCGTCACATTCGGATAGAATGTAGCCGCGCGCGCAAACTGCGAGTCACCACTTCCGTGCCGGCCTCGGGTCGTCATGGCCGAGAAAACGTGCGAGGTCTGTGAGGCTCACGACGCCCTTACCACGCACGGAGCGTACCACCGAGGTAGTCGACGACGCAAGGGAGGGTAAGCGTTCCATGACATCGTGGGAAGACGGCAGGCCATGCCTGTCGGCGGCGCGGGCCACCGCCGGACCCAACGAAGCCAAGTAGAATGCCTCCGCGGAGTGGTATGCACTGTGGAGCCCCATGCCCCATGCCGCCGTCCCGCCATGGGAGTAATCACTGGTGATGCTCCACACCGGGATATGCGGCCATGTCGATGCCCAGTAGGTCGTGGACCCCGGACAACAGCGCCTTGTTAAAGCTCAAAGATACCAGATCTGGGGTGGGCACGTTCTGCGCAACGTAATTGATGTCGCCAGTGGTAGCCATCCGCACGAGCAGGAAGGCCGACTGGACACTCAATGCGGCACCACGCAGGTCAGCCACCCGATCCAGGAGAGCATCTCGACGAGCCTCGATGCGGACCGCGGACGCCACGTCAACCGATACGGTGCCATCGGCCTTCGGCATCGGCAACGGCAGCTTCAACACGACGGGCACGGCTGCAAACACCGGAATACCAGAACCGCCAGTCCCGCACGGGCCTCGCGCGGCGACGCAACACTTCGACAGCTTCACTCGAAGCCCAGCTGGGGCAAACACGGCGCCGAGGCTGTCGCAGATGGCCGGCAGATCCGCGGGCTTGGCCAGCACATACGTGTCATCCTGTTGGCCAAAGACAACACCGCGCTCAGCGAGTTCAGCGTGCGCGTCGACGAGTGCGACGGGGGCGAAGATGCTGGAGGCGGGGCAGCCCTGGTCGAGGCCGTCGAACGCGTCGATCCTGTGGACTGCCCCCTCCTCTCCTTTGTACACGTGGCTCCGCGGGACGCGGATCCAAGAGAGAAGCTCGGCCATGCGCGGGATCTTGCGGGCGACCTGCTGCTCGAGAATTTCGATATTCATGGAGTTGTGCATGTTCTCGATGTCTATCCCCAACAACGCACGTCCCGGGTCGAGCATCCACTCGATTCGCAAGTCGTGGCGAAGGCTAGTGCAGCCGCCAGGGCACGCCACCCCGTACTGCGTGTCCCCCACGGCGGCCCGCGCCTCGTCGATGAACATCTTCACCCAGGCTCGCATCGCAGTGCGCCACATCGCGCTGCCTCTGGCGGTGAGCTGCCCCGCGCTGTCCGTCTTGAGCGGGGCGTTGAACCACGCGGAACGGTGGATTCGGATCGCCACACGCGGGGCGCGCCCGGAAGGCAGCAAGGCGAGGACCCGCGCCAAGAGGGGGGTCGAGCCGGGGACCGCGTCGGAGCGGCGGATGTGTTCGTAGGCTGTGCCCGTCGGACCAGCCCCACGCGTCGGCGGCACATGGCGGAGCTCGTCGGCGATAAAACCAGCGAGCTCCTGGACAACCTCAGGGGAGGCAGCCGGCAGCAGGGGAGGATCGCCCATCGGCTCGACAAGGAACTTGGCGCGGAGCTCGCCCACGACAGCGGGGCCCGTGGCAAACGAGACGGGCTCGATGACGCGCGAGATCGTCTTGCGGACGGCACTGTTGCGGATCAGCGTCCCGATGGACTGCACCTCCTTCGCTGCCACGGCCTCCGCGGAACGCGGCTGAGCTAGTGCCGAAGTGCGCCAGCGGTTGTTATCGACGTCGGTGACGAGCCGGTGCCAAGCCCCAGGCCAGAAAGCGCCCCTGCGAGCAGAAATGATCCTGCTCAAGGTCGCATGACCTTGGCGTCGGCTGCCGCCGCGGCTGCAGGGGGCAGCACCAAGCACCAAGGCGTCGAACGCGGAGAAAAGCTCCCACGCTCGATCAAAGTTCACGTTGCCCCCACCCTCGTCGGCGGACAAAATGGCGCGGCACGTTGCTGCCTGGGCCTCCTGCGCGTTCGCCTCCCAGTGGGGGGAATGTGCCTCAAACACTGGTGGCACTCGATGCACCTGTCTCAGGGGCTGGCGTCGAACTGCTCCATGTGTTTGAGTTCGCCCATGGATGGGGCGGCAGCCGCCGGGGGCTCTCCAGGGGCCGGCGTGGACGGGGTGGCACAGGAGAGGGCGAACGTGAGCGCTGTCTTCGCAACGGGGCCCAACTCTCCGAAATTCACAACCTTGTCCGCGGTCACCCTGTAGGCCCCAGAACATCGTGCATGAAGAAGGCGAGTATGCTTGGTTCTGGCGGGCCGCAACCGCAGGGCGTCCACGTCAAAAGCCTCGTGGCACACTTAGCAGATAGCCTTGTGCCGCTTCGGCTGCGGAGAAACCTCCCAGGTCGTGTCGAGGGTGGCGGCAACGGGGCGAGACGCGCCAGAGCCTCTTGACGACTGCATTTTGGACGCCCGAAATGGGCACGGAAACAATGGGTACAATGCCCAACAACAAATGTTGTCCCAAACCAACAGCGGCCGCTGTTGGGCAGGCGGCCTCCCGTCTCAAACGGACACAGGCCGCGGCGGCGCGGACAGCGAGTCCTGTTCACAGTGAACAGGAACTGCTGTTGGGCATTGTACCCATTCTTTCCGTGCCCATTTCGCTCGTGCAGATACATGCGCCTCCCGCGGAGCAGGGGGCCGGCGCCGCTGCCGCTGCCGCGCGTACGCAGCCCGCCGAGCCGCGCGGCGAGCGGCGCAACCCGAGCACGGCCCGGCGGCGGCCTATCGGCCGCCAGGCAGCCCCGCCAAGGCCATCGCGGTCGGGCTGATGCGCGATCCTTGCGCCATTGCAGAGTGCTTTGACTCCCTCCATCCCTCCCTCCATCCCTCACTCCTCCTCCTCCTCCTCCTCCTCTCCTCCTCCTCCTCCTCCTCCTCCTCCTCCTCCTCTCCTCCTCCTTCGTCTCTCGTCGTTGTCCTCCTCCCTCCTCCTCCTCCTCCTCCTTCTCCTCCTCCGCCTCCTCCTCTCCTCCACCTCCTCCTCCTCTTCCTCCTCCTCCTCCTCCCTCCTCCTCCTCCTCCTCCTCCTCCTCCTCCTCCTCCTCCTCCTCCTCCTCCCCTCCTCATTATCCTGTTCCTCCTCCTCCTCATCCTCCTCCTCCCTCGTCTCTCGTCTCTCGTCTCTCGTCCTCCTCCTCCTCCTCCTCCTCCTCCTCATCCTCTTCTTCCTGTTATTCCTCCTGTTCCGTCCTAGTAGCATTCGTATGATTATTACGATTTGTATTATTTTGTAGTGGGACTATCATTACTGATCTTATTATAGTAGTATTAGTCGTGTGATTATAATTAGAAATATTATTAGTGGCATCAATGTTAGCAGTGCTGGTAGTACTAGTATTACGAGTAGCCGTAGTATGATCTGTGGTTTTAGTAATATTAATAATACGAGTATGATTAATGATGCTAGTATCAGTCATGTTATTATTGGTCGGCAGAACCATATCAATATTGGGATGGTTCGTATTATCAGTATAAATATCAATCGTACTACTGCTTGCAGTAGTATCATGAGCCGTACGATCACTGATAATAGTACTAATATGAAAATTATTAGTAGTAGCATTACTATGAGAATAGTTAGTATGCTCGGTTGTATAGATATGCCCACGAATATTAGTAGTGGTATTATTAATGATACAAGTCTGCTTCGTACTGCTACGATTTGTATTATTCATACTATTACTAAGAGTGCCAATGCTAGTATCAATATTACTGGTAGTATTACTACCAGTAGTATTCATAGCACCGGTATTGGTATTCGTAGCCGTAGTACTACTTTTACGAGGGGGTGAATTACTATGTGTCTTACTAATGTCCTTCTTATTGCGATTAGTAATAGTGATACGGTCGTGTGTTATTATTATTCTCCTTCGCAATATTATTATTAATACTGTTGGTATTCGTATTCTCCTTCGTCGTATTATTCCGTACTATTAATATTATTCGTCTTCCTCATCCTCCTCCTCCTCCTCCTCCCCCTCCTCCTCCACTTCCTCCTCCTCCTCCACGTCCTTCTCCTCCTCGTCCTCCTCCTCCTCCTCCTCCTCCTCCTCCTCCTCCTCCTCCTCCTCCTCCTCGTCCCTCTCCTCGTCCTCCCCCCTCTCCTCCCACCTCCACCCACCGAGGGGGGACCGCGCGGAGGCACTGTGCCCTCGGGGCCCCCACCCCGCCCAACCTGCGATCGCGGGTCGCCGCCGCAGCCCAGCTGGCCTGGCTGGCCGCCGCCTCGACGGCCGCAGCAGTCGCCGCCGTCGTCGTCGCAAGATCGGTCAGCAACGAATCCCATGGGGCTCCTCCTCCTCCTCCTCCTCCTCCTCCTCCGCCTCCTTCCTCCTTCCTCCTTCCTCCATTCCTCTCCTCCTCCTCCTCCTCCTCCTCCTCCTCCTCCTCCTCCTCCTCCTCCTCCTCCTCCTCCTCCTCCTCTTCCTCCTCCTCCTCTTCCTCTTCCTCCTCCCCTCAAGCCACCTGGGCGCGAGACACCATGTTGGCAGCTTCTCGTCCGTCCCCTGCGCCTGCCCGTGGCGCTTGAGGCACTTTGCTCGGAGGCCAGTCTCTGGACCCTCTGGGCATCGACCAAGGCAAGGGTAAAATCACAATGTGTGCACGCGTCTGGTCCCGTTGTTCTCAATGCCGTCAGTGTGAGTTCAATGATATTATGATTATGCAGAAGAAGCTGTGCTAAGGGTGTGGGAGTCCAGTCAGGCTTCACAAACCAGGGGCTACCTCACGGACCAGACAAGTCTCCTTCGATGATGAGGAGGCCAGCTTGGTCCACCCGCCGGGCATCCTGCGCTCGGCCTCGCGCAGCGCCTCCCCCGCGCGCGGAGGCATCGGCGCTGGTCCAAGGGGGCGCAGAAGGGCGCGGCGGCATCCAGGGCGACTCGCACGACGGCGTGAAGCAGGATGCGGGGGACTCCGCCCTCTCCCTGCCGCAGCGCGGCGGCGGCGGCCGCCAACGACCCCACCCTCCGAGAGCAGCTCCTGCAGCAGGCCGAGACGCTCGAGGAGGCGGAGCGCGCTGCCGCAGGTGCCGACAAGAGCTCGGCGGTGGCCGCGCTGCGAGGGACCGACGGCCGCCACAGGGACGCCGACCACGAGCACAGCCGGGCCGCGCATAGAATGTGCTGCGCCGGGAGGCAGCGCTGAGCAAGGCCAGGGTGAAGGAGGAGGAGGAGGCCGCGGCAGTACTGGCCAAGGCTGCCCTTGCGCGTCGCAGGGCAGCCCAGGCGGTGGCGCACGCCGAGGGTGTTGGGGAGGGAGGCCCGAGGCGGAGCGCGACCCACGCATCTTCCAGGTGGTGCGGGACACGGAGTTCTTCGCGCAGCTGGACGCGATGGAGCGCAATGGTGCGGAGCGCCAGGGCCTCAAAGAGATTCACGAGAGGCCGATGGCGACCGAGAGCGAGATGACGGCGAAGGAGAGCGAGGTCCGGGCTTGGCTTCAACGCATGGAGCAGCTTCGTCAGGACATCACCGAGCGCACGAAGAAGAGGAGGAGGTCGGAGGACGGCTCTGGCGTGCGAGGCGATGCCGGGGCTGCTGGCAGCGCGCCAGACGCCCCTGCAGCCCCCCCCCCGGCGGCCGCAGCTGGCGCGGGCGCTGCCCAGGCCAGCGCAGCGCCTGCTGAGGAGCAGCCGTCCGCGGAGGACGTCGCTGGGGAGGCCAAGCGGCTGGCCGAGGCGAAGTTCCAGGCCGAGGCCCAGGCGGCGGCCTCCAAGGGCAAGGAGGGAGGGGGAGGAGGAGGAGGAGGAGGAGGAGGAGGAGGAGGAGGAGGAGGGGCGGGAGGGGGAGGAGGGAGGAAGGATGAGGAGGGGAGGAGGGAGGAGGATGGAGGAGGAGGAGGAGGAGGAGGAGGAGAGGAGGAGAGAAGGAGGAGGCGGAGGAGGAGGATGGGAGGAGGAGGAGAGGAGGAGTCGAGGAGGAGGAGGAGGAGGAGGAGGGGGGGGAAGGGCCAGGGCAAGGGCCAAGGCAGCGCACCGGCAGCGGGCCGAGGCCGCCGCCCCCCCCCCCACGAGCGCCGCCCCTGCGGGCGCCGGCACCGCTGCCCCGCGCCGGCCTGAGCGACTGAGCTCCGCCAGCGCGGAGCAGGGCGCTCCCTCTACAGGGCAGATTTTAATACATAGGATGCCTAAAAATGTAGGATTTCCCATACATGATTAATGCATAAATATGTGCATGCATGAACTCATCGTTGTTTTTAGTACTAAATCCCTGCATTGTCAATACATGATCCGCACGCGGAGCACGTACTAAAAACGGCACTGTACGCCCTCGGCGGATGAGGTAGAGCGCGCGGGGGGCGATAGAACACGGCTGTTATATGCCAACATCACTTGCATGGGGGAGAGGGCTTGGTCTCGGCTGGAGGCGTCTCTGCGACAGTTCGAGTACTGCGCATTCCTGGAGACACGTGTGCATCTGCCTGCCAGCCTTCAGAAGTGGGAGGCAAAATGCCGTCGGAACGGCCTTCGCACGATTGCCAATGCAGCACGGCCAAGCTCAAGGGGTGCTCATCCTGGTCAGGTTGAGCATGCAAACGAGGGAGGCGAATGGCTATTGGCAAGAGGTCATCTTCAATGTCATTGGTTGAGTGCCATCGAGGCTGCAGGATCGAAGCTATGAGCCCCTGGCAGCACGTCGCTGGACGGCTTCGCGGCAATGGTGGCGCATTTTCAAGGGTACAGCATGGTCATTGTCACGTGCTACTTGCACTCGAGCATGGGCTACGCAGGTGTCAACATCGGCAGGATCAAGCGCCTAGCGGCCATTCTCCATGTCTTACAATTGCCATGGGTCGTGATGGGTGGCTTCAACATGAGCCCACGGGTACTGGCTCGCACAGGCATCCCGCAAAAATTCGGCGCCACCATCGTGACAGCTGATGCGGCCGCAACGTGTCTCCTCTCCTCTGGCCCGCATCTCGACTATGTCATGTGCAGTTGGGCTGCGAGGCCTCTCCTTGCTTCAGTCTCCCCAGTTAAGGGGCCACATGCGAACCCTACCCCTACCCCCCACGATTTTTGAGGGGGAGGGTGGGGTTCACTTCGCTCGTGACCTCCCGAGCGAAGTGAACCCCACCCTCCCCCTCAGAAATCGTGGGGGGCAGGGGTAGGGTTCGCATGTGGCCCCCTACCAGTCATCGCAGTGCCTCGGCGCCCACACACTGGGCCGGCGGTAGGTTTTAGGACTTCAGAGGCCCAGCTCCTCGCTAGGGTCATGGCGAGCCCCGCCAGGCCCCCTCAGCTCCAAGTGCCCTCTACTGCTCCCACGGCTGGGTCCAAATCTGGTCTCGCGAAGGCTCGTGGGCAAGAGCGGCGGCAGCTCGCCGTGGCGTCTGGGCTTGAGCGCATGAATTCCTCGCGTGGCGACTGCAGGGAAGTCTCTCGGGCTGCATCTGAGGATGGTGCTTCTAGGGGTTTAGAGGCCGCGTCCTTGGATGCTAGCACTGATAGTTATGATCCCTTTGAGTACGTTGACGTCGAAACCTCGGTCTGGCAGGAGGTGGAGGAAGATCCGCGGGCCAACGAGCCTAACTTCTACCCGATCCCCGCCGGCCCAGCAGTCAAGGCTCACGTTAACAGTTGTGCGTCTCAGGCTGGGCGGCCCTCTGAGGCTCCGCAGATTGCGTCTCCCATTGCAGTGGTGAGGCCTTCGCAGGAAGGAAACACTTGTGCTCCCAGCTTTTGCATCCCCAGCGATGCTTGGCGGCGGGGCCGAGAAGCTATTGGCTTCCAACAAGATGAGCAGATCCTTCAGACCCTCGCCCCTGCTCTGCAGCAGCAAGTGGCCGTTTCTCTCAAACCTGCTCTGCTTACAGACGTCTCCGATCTGTGCGCAGCGTGGGCGCCTGTCGAACACTGCGCACATCACCACCATGGTGAGTCGCCAGCTGCTGGACCCAGCCGAGCGACAGGAATCTACGTCGAGGTCCAAACGGCCAAGATGGCATCCAAGGTTCGAGTTGCCCCCATTACGCGATGCTCTCAGCGGCTGGTGGATGCAACTGCACGCACGTCTTCACGGTCTGCACCTACATTATGAGAAAGGAGGTGGACAGCATCAACAGGATAGGTACATTCGGGCTTGTTCGCGTCACCTCGGCAGTTGCCCTGAGTTGGCTCCTGCACCTTTGATTCAGACCAAGGCCCTACCCTGGGCAGAGTGGCAGGTCTGTCTTCGCAAGCTTCGTGGATGTGATGTTCGTGAGCTGAGGAGGTTCACCCTGGCTGCGAAAACGATTGCTGCGCGCGCTCAGAGGCGGGCGATCCAGCAATCCCTGACGGAGTTCGAAAGCGTTTGTAGGCCATGTCGATTCTCTCGGGAAGCTGCACAGATCTCTCGCGCCGATGCCGATGCCAGCATTGGTCGGCGGTGGACAAACCTCCCTTTAGTAAACCTCCCCTTACATAAAACGGCCTGGGACCGAAACCGACGGACCTGGACCCGCAAAAATGACGGCCGCGACGCCCTCTCGCGAATCGAAAACGGCCAATTCCTTAATCGACGTATCAGAGTAGGAGGTCTATCCACCTCCGAATTGGACGCCGTGGGGGCTCAGAAAGAGCCCTTCCACCCGAAGGACCCGATCGATGCGAAGGCGTCGCGGTGGCGAACTCCTCCTTCCTCCTCCTCCTCCTCCTCCTCATCCTCCTCCTCCTCCCCCTCCTCCTCCTCCTCCTCCCCGACCTGGTCGATGCGAAGGCGTCGCGGTGGCATGATCTGCGGGCGCCCAACCTCACGAACGAGAGCGTGGCGGCGCGCGCGCGCCGCTCCGCTCCGCTCGTCGCCGTCGTCCGTCGTCGGCGTCTCGTCGTCGTCCCTCCTATCTCGTCGCCGTCGCCGCCGTCGTCGTCGTCGTCGTTGTCGTTGTCGTCTTCCCTCCTCCCTCGTCGTCGTCGTCGTCGTCGGCGTCGCCGTCCTTCCTCCTTCGTCGTTCACGTCGTCGCCGTCCTCCCTCCTCCCTCGTCGTCGTCGTGGTCGTCGTTGTCGCCGTCGTCTTCCCTCCTCCCTCGTCGTCGTCGTCGTCGTCGGCGTCGCCGTCCTTCCTCCTTCTTCGTCGTTCGCGTCGTCGCCGTCCTCCCTCCTCTCTCGTCGCTGTCGTCGTTGTCGTCGTCGTCGCCGTCGTCGTCCTTCCTCCTCCCTCGTCGTCGTCTTCGTTGGCGTCGTCGTCGTCGTCGTCTTCGTCGTCGTCGGCGTCGGCGTCGTTGTCGTCGTCGAAGTCGTCGGAGACGTCGTCGGTGTCGTCGTAGTCGTTGTCGTCGGTGTCGTCGTAGTCGGTCTTAAGAGGTTTTGCAAACAAAGTTGCGGGTGGGTAGGTGGGATGTTTGCAAGAGCGTGGGATGTGTCAAATCATGGGTAAAAATCATTTGCACCTCCTAGATTGCACAACATAGATTGGACAACACATAAGACTCGACACACACTGCTTGGGTCCCCGCTGGCTAACAAATTCTAGAAAAGATCATCTATGTGTAGCAACTTCTGTGGCGGCGACGAGGCGGCGGCGGCGAAGGCGGCAACATAGCCGCCAAACTGCCACACAGGCCCAAAGAACGGGCTGCGAAAGGGCGGCGACGGCGGCGACATAGCCGCCAGACCGGCCGTCAGGCCCAGACGACGGGCGGCGACACGGCGGCGACGGGGCGGCGAGGGCGGCGACAAAGCCGCCAGACCAGCCATCAGGGCCAGTCCCTGAGAACACTCTTGGGAAGCACAAAACGCAAGCACTGTTTGGCGAGTAATTCTTCGTCCGCTTCGACTGTGGTCGTCGTCGTCGTTGTCGTCGTCGTCGCTGTCGTCGTCGAAGAGAGGCGGGAGGTCAGAGGAAGAAAGGCGGCAGGAGGCAGAAACACGGAGGAAGAGACGAGGGTGGAGGATGAAAAAAACGGAGGGAGGAGAGGAGGGGGAGCGAAGAGGGAGGGAGCAAGAGGATGGAGGAGGGAGCGCACAGGCAGCAGAACGGGGGGGGAGGGGGGGGGAAGGGAGAGGCGGGTGGGAGGAGAGAGTTGTCCAAGCCTGCTGGTAGCCGACGAAGTTCAGCGCTGCCCTCTCGTGCGCGGTCGCGGGGCAGCCGTCTGGCGGCAACGTCCCCAGCGGCAGCCCCGACGAGTCGAAGGACCCGAGCGGCGGCCCGAAGTAGGGCCCCGGCGGCGACTGACCGAAGGACCCCGTCGGCGGCGGCCCCAGCGATGCCGCGCAAACGAATTCCTGGGCTGCCTTCTCCTCCGCGGTCGCTGGGCACCCGTCTGGCGGCATCGTCCCCAGCGGCAGCCCCACTGCCCCCGCATCCTGGGCCGAGGGTGACCCCGCGGAAGCCCCGGGCGTCGGGCCATAAGCCCCGCCGAAGGGCCCGCGCGGCGTCGGGCCATAGTCGCCGAAGGATCCCGGCGGCGTCGGGCCGAAGGAGCCGGGCGGCGTCCCAGCTGGCGGCCCAGACGCCCCCACGCCCTGAACTGCAGAGGTTGCCGCGACGTCCTGCACGGGGCACTACCTCATTCCTCCTCTTCCTCCTCTTCCTCCTCCTCCCCCTCCCCCTCCTCCTCCTCCTCCTCCTCCTCCT